GAAGAAGGGGGCTCACATTGGTGCAAAAGTTTCCCAAGCCATATGATATTATTTGAGCACAGATCTCTTCATTTCCTGTCTTTTAGGGGGCTGTCTTGATTAGACTCTATTATTCGACAAAAACCTTGTGAAGACACAAAAGGAAGGTTATGGAGCCTGCCTGGTAATATTTTTCTATCAGACAGCTCGAAGAGGGGAAGTCCTCCGTCCAAGCTGCCAGGCCGGGTTGTAGTTTTTTGTTTTGGGGGGGGGGGTCTGGGTATAAGAGACGACCCTGTTATCTTTGTGTAAAAGGTCACACAGGTCTGGCGGAAGAAGCAAAAGCAACAACCAACTGTGTTTTCCCCCTAACCATGCTGCAGCTATCCAGAGTACAGAGAGCTGAGCTGAACGAACACACACACACGCACGCACAGGCATCACATCGCTCACTCATATCTGTGCACGGGTCGTATGATGAAGGATGCATTGTCAGAAGCAGCTGGAAAGCCCCAAGATATGTTTTCCTTCTTGAGATCTGTGCGTATATGTACCATTGTTTTTGAAACACACGTAATTTATGCACATGCTGTTTCTTAGAATGAATCGTGTTGATTTATCAGAGGTTTGACTTATGTTTTCTGCTCGTATTGTGAGAATGTTTTTGTTCATGTGAAAAACCACAAAGGATGATATTTCATTTTTGCAACTCTGACGTATGGCAAACCAACACATTTTGCAGCTTTACAGGTGAATACAATGTAACTTATATGGACAGATTTAAGCCTTGTGTATGGGTTTACAGTAAGTGACCAATTTTCTTTTGTTGGTTGTATACGACAACATTTAATATCCTTTACAAAAATTATATAACTAGCAAGAATGTCTGCATCCTCCCAGACTCATACATCACAGAGTAAGTTCCTCATCATCCCACTGTTTCCAATCATTTACTAGAGAACACAAGCAGAGCTGCCCCTATTTGATAGCACAAACGTTTGATTTATTCATATAAAAGCGTGCACCTGCATAGACACAGATAATACGCGGTTAATACACTCAGAACAGATCCCATGCAGGGACCTTATGTTATAGTGCAACATGGGACCCGGCTGTTCAAAGCCATTAAAAAGATAAATGAAAACATACTGCAGAGACTGGAAAATGCATACAGAAGAAGTAAAAGCCTATGGGAATACAAACCATACAAATTCAACAGCCTCTCACAATGGAAATCCTCAACAGTTCTCCATGATGCCAAAAGCCATTGTAGTATACTGTTTCTACTCTGTTATTGTGTTTATTTAAAGAGGCCATAAAGGCTTCTTTTTTTATATGGCTGCTGAGTTTTTTTTTATTTTGGAAAGATGAATCATTGTTTTTGCAAGGCAGCTTGGAGGACTGTCTCTGCAGACATAGAGAAAAAGAAAAACAAATGAAACGGGACTGACCTACTCTCTCAGCTTCAGACTAATTAAAGAAGTGTGACAAACTTTTTGCTGGAGACAAGGCATTTCACTATACAGCAATAATGTTTTTTTTCTGTAATGGAGCCGGGCTGCAAGGTTATCTTAGAGCAGTGGTTCTCAGAGGAAACAAAACATGTGAAAGAAGAAAGAAACTGGACAAAATAAACACGTTTAAAAAAGCGTTCACAGACTTTATGACAGAATAATGATTGAGACACATATCGTGACCCGATGAAAACGACTCCATGGCCAACTTTTGGGCCACTTGAGAACCACTGTCTTAGAGTATAGTCTAGACTTAAAGACTGAACTCAAACAACACTTCTGTAATGATGCATTAATGCAACCTGATGAGCCATCGACTCCCTGGACAAATATATTTGGGATAAGTTGCAAGTTATTATCAAAAGTGCTTACATAAGGGAAAATCCAGATTGTGATGACTACAGTGCTCTAACAAAGTGCCTTTTTTATTAAATTGACAACAATGATATGAGCCAGCCTCATTGATTTGTTTGGGAGTTCTGATAGCCCTGTAGGGAATTAAACCTTTTGCTGATTATTTGATGAAGTGCTGACTTCAATAGTCCCTGGCCCTGCAGGGCTTGCTTCATGCATGAGTTTTTATGCGTGCAAAGATGGTCTTTCTGGGTTGTTGGGAGGGGGTTGAAGATAAATGTTGTTGGGGGAGTGGAAAATGCTGAGTACAGGGTTTTCATATTGTACACAATCAACCCAAACTTATTTTTTATGTTTTAAGATATTTGAGTTGAATTGTTCATATTAATAATGCACTGTAAATCTGGTTACGGTTATTTTTGCCGGAAACAGCAAAACACTGTAAAACCTAAAACTGTGCTCTACAAATTTTAATAAGGTCTGCTGTCCTGTTGTATTCATATCCTCTGTTCTGAAGATGACTTAATCAGAGTGTAAAGCTCGGGGCAAACACACACAGGTCTCAGAGGAGCGCTATAGTGCTTACTGGTCGTGCAAAGCCACAGAATCAATAAAACATGTCAATAATGATTCAGTCCTTTACAGAAGTCAAATGCTTTGCCATCCAATTACAAAGGTGTTTGGGTCACTTCAAAGAGTAAATGACCTCAGCTTGATTGTACTCGATTATGACAAAAATCGATACCTGTACTTCACACGCTAAGGCTTGTTTGTGGGACTGCATTTCTTATAAATGAATGTCATTGGGACTAAATAAATAGGGAACCATCTCTGCATTAATGTGGCAAAACAAAAACATGTCTGTTTCAGAACTCTGCTTCATTAACTTGTGATGTCACATTTCGGTTTAGGGTGGAATAAAAACATTCAGTCCAGTGTTTATTGGCTGGCAGAGCAGGTGTTATGGATTGTCTCAGTGCTGGGAATGAGTCGCTGACCCCTTTCCCTGATCCCTTTCCTGTTTGGCGTTGTGTGTGAGCAGCCGAGGTGAGGGAAGATAGAGTCAGTTTGTTCCCTGCTACTACGACATGTTTTTCTCAATTCCCCCTTCTCTCTTCCAGTCAAGTTGTGTTCCAGGTGGGGTGACACAGCGCAGCACGCTGCCACAGGCGGTTCAGGAAATTTGTGTCCTCCATCCAAAAAACATGTTTTGACCGTCTGTTCCACATCTGGAGGGTTATTTACTCCTAAAGCCATTCTTCATCAGCAGCCCCATGAAACAATATTCTTGACAGGTTCTATTTGCACAACCTTTACAATCAAAACATATTTTGTTCAAATGAAACAAAATAAAACAAATGTAGCAATTGTGCGCAGAACACTCCTGAGGGAGGCGATTTGGCATTGCCAGAAGAGCAGAGTGGAGCTATCTTTAGTCGTCCAGTTCCAAAACAAAAGGCTACTTTATGGCAGCTATAAATGTGCTACTACTGACACATTAAAACAGACTTGGCTTCAAGCCCCTCATAATGGCTCTTACAGTAACACACTGTAACAAGGAGAAACAAAACAAGTGAGTCACAGCCATTGAATTGTTTTGCTGGTGTTGTAGCATATTGCAAACTACATTACTCAGCATCCTATTTACACAAATAAACAGTTTAATTACTGCAGCAAAAACAATGGCCTCATCTTCAACAGAAATTAACTCATATTTAATACACACTTCAGTGACCTGCTTAATAATTTAGAAGCCGTATCATTACACACAGTAACATAAGTGTTGTTTAAATGGGTTTTCAGATGAAGCTAACATGATGTGATTATGTCTTAAAACACTCTCGACACCTCTGTGAGTCTGATCAAGCTTTGCACCTGCAGCACAGCTTCATCCTTTCTGCACCGTACCATCTGGAATGGGAATTTTTGCTGTGTATTATGTATGGGTTTGTATGCATCTGCAGCAGTCAGGGCTGGAACCCCACAGTGATACAGCTCTGCCTTTTCTTTTATTGTTCTTCTCTACTCCATCACTGTCCTTTGCTGTAAAAAATCCCTCAGGTCTGCTACATTGTTTGACCTTCAATATGTGCATGTTAAAGGAGCTGTCAAATCAAAGACCCCAAGCGTGCGACGATCCCAGCCTCCCCCTGTGTTGCGCAAGGTGCTTCTGTCCTTGAAAGCACCACCACGAGTCCCTCACTGAAGCTGAAAGTTTGTCTGCTCCTCGAACCATCAGGCTCTGCACAGCACCAGCCAATCTGCTCTGTTAGAGGTTACCGAAAGGGTTAACATCTCCAACCTTTCCCATCTGTTGCTAAGGAAGTGTTGTGCAGGAAACAGGGAGAGCAGTTTCCTGTTATGAAGGGAGTTTTTTTAAGGGGTGCATTCATTCAATCATGCAACATATGCCTAGCCAGGAAGCCCAGCCAATAGCAAAAGCTTTGGTGTCTGAGAGAAATTGTATTTGGACACTGTTTTTAGGAACCTTTCTATGCACTGCTCTAGTTCAGGAAATAACCCACAAGTCAAAAATATGCTGGAGAAAACACAGACAATAATATGCTCAATTCTGAGTACTTGACATTTTGTATTACCCTCTATAAATAGCCCATAAATTCAACTCATAAGTACAAGTATCTTGTTCCAATTGTGCAATGCTGTATGAGTTGTAACTTTAACTCGTATCAGTTAAAGGACGTGTTCAATGTGCAGATGTGATTCAATAACAATAACATGCTGCTGTTTGTGCATAAACAGTGGCTGTAGATGTAAAGCTCTCCACCATTACAATAAAGCTCTGGAGTAGGTTTGAATTCAGTTATGGTCCAAATCTCTTGCGCTGAGTGGATTTAGTCTTAAACTCCTCTCTACCTCCAGAGAAAAGCATCGTTGCGGTTGCACACAACTGTGGATCAGCTGTCCGAAGCAAAACATGCTCAGATATGAGTGGAATATCCCTGGATGCTATGTGTGGTAGTGGTAAACACCTGCAGTTACTTAGATAGTAAAGCTAATGGTGTGCAGTCAGTGGATAGCCTACATAAAGAGAGTGGGTTTGATTCGCGCTCCTCGTCCGCGTCCGCGTGGGTCTGTAGTCCAGCCTCAGGAAGCGCCAACCAGCACCTCCCGTTTCCACACAGGAGGCAGGAGCGCACTAGTTCACAGTAGCATCAGCACTGGAGATGCACGCCGGCTTAGAGCTCAGCAGACACTATACGAACACAGGCGTCTTTTATAGTACGCTGTCAATTGAGATAACCACTGCAACACGATCTGCATGTCCTCGTGTACAACTTGATTTTCACGCACTGTGTTTGTTTTCGGATTAAGTTTCCGCCTAGTTTCGAGGGACACAGTCGGTGTGGAGGAAAATGAGGATAACTATCGGTGGCAGCAGATGATGATGTCCCACCATGAATGCAGGTTGGTTCTTTCATTGTCCTCTTTAAAAGTCCTGAAACATTAAATATTTTAAAACAAAGAAAAGTGGTGCACAATTTAAGCAACGTTGTGTGTTCATGTGTGTGCTTGTGTGAGGGCGATGTAAGTCAAATAAACTTTATTTATTTGGTTGACAAATTATTCTGCCTGAGTTGTTTCATATTTAAAATAAAATGTAGGATTTGTCATAAAGTTATGTACATTTTATTCAGATGTCCCTGCATGTTTCCAATTAAAATCAATTCGTTGAATGCATTAAAAACAATTGAGTAAGTTTAAATCCACGGATCAAGTTTTCTACTGGGATTTGTTCAATTCCAGGATAAGTAATAGGGTTAGATTGGATTAGGCCTATAATCCATGGCTATGTATAGATTACATTTTTATAGGCTACAGATTGTCACCTGTGTTGCAAGTGCCTTGTCATGTATTACAGTAAGTGAAAGAAGCCAACTAAACCTCTCTGATAGCCAATATATTTTCTCAACAATCAGAAGTTTCGAATTAAACAAAATAATGTTCCCCTTTGTTCCGCATTCTTGTCACTTAAGAGTTTGGACAGGTTGTCAAGTCTTGACGGCTGACATTTCATTATGAGGACAAAGTCTGAAATCATATCCTGTAAATTTGGCACTGCCATGGTCCCAGTGTCTATCTCTTCCTTTGTTTTTCAAACATTTGTTGTAATTGAATTCTTGTTGCATAATTCATATCCTGTTGTTTGCAGTTGGGTGCTTTGTCAGGCTGGGACCCTTGTTTTCTCTCCCGGTTTTATTGTTCTTTGATGCACTCAAAGGACCTTTTCAGCAAAAAAAAAAAAAAAAAAAAAAAGGTTGTGCCAGTGTGGGTGGTTGTGTGTGTTTTGGAATCTGTGTGAGGTAGTGCGAAAAGGTTTTGTGCGAATGAAGGAAAAATTGCATGAAGGACGTCCATTTGTGTTGTGAAAATGTGTATTCCTAGAGGTTCATGGAGGAGTGATGGGGGACCATGCTGTTAATGTCTCCCCCCCCCCCCCATGGACATCCTGTGTGAGGTCCTGTAAGGAGGCTCTAATGGAGAAGCTCATAAACTTGGGATTATAGAAATGATTGCAGTGACATTGAGCACCACTCTTTTTCAAAACCTGAAAAGTTTTGTCTGAGAGTGTTTTTTTATGTCGATGAAAAGCAGTCTGTTTAAAAGTCATGTAAGATGAATAAGATTAATCCAAAAAAACTGAGAAAGAGAGAGAGAGAGCGAGAACACTCAGAGATAGTCAGAGTGCACACAGGGTTTAAAAGGATGTGCGTCAGGGCAGGTACTAAATAACAGGAAGAGACAAGGGGTGTACACACTTTGTTAAGTATGGGTGTGTTTCATGACAATTCTAAATGTTGTAAGCTGTTCTCTTTTATGATTTATCACTTAACATTTTAAAACTCTACCACATTTAGACTCTCATTTTAAAACAAGTCATTAACGCACAGCATCAAAATGTGATAACTGTCATAGCTACATAATCCTCCATATTGTTGTTTTTCTATATACTGATTTTTCATTTTTGAAGGGATATCAGTTTTTCTTTAAAAGTTTTTGATTCTTTTTTTTCTCCGTAAATTTTGCTGTATTCATCTAACCTTCATGTGTCATTTCCCAGACAGGGAGATGTTATTGTTCCTCCTCTAAGTACCCTGTGGCTCTGTTGTTTTTCCTGCTGATAATGTCCCCCGCAGCATTCTGCATGTCCCTGAGTATTGTACAGGACTTAACTTCCTATTAGCATTCTTTAACATAACAGGGCCCTGACATTTATCCCTATGTGAGGCTTGATAAAGCAGTAAAATGTATCCTAGAATTGAAAGCATTAAGATGCTTTTACACTTTTCTTACATGATTTTTTTGACTCTGTTTGCACGCAGATTTTCAAAATCAACTGCAAGTCCCTCGACCAAAGATCCGCAGTCATCTGAACATCAAAGTGCAGTCCAAACTGATGTCCAGGGCGTGTCCCCCTTTGCATGGCTCAAAGCCCCCTGTCGCCCCAAAGCCCGGACCCTTTTATAAGTCTCATGCACAGAAGGAGCCCTGCCCCCAACAGAGATTGAGCAACGGAGACCTGGCTCACTCCGATGGGGAGACGGAGAATATCAATGAAATAGCTGAGGAGAGCCCGGACATTGAGGAAAAATGTGGGGCAGAGAATTCAGGTGATGACAATGACACAGAGCACAGTGAGGATGAAGTAGAAGGTGAAATTAAGGAAGGAAAAGAAAAAGCAGTGGACATATTAGAAAAAGATGACAACAGCGTTGGCTCTGAGGACACAGTAAAAGCTGATGATGGTTCTACTCTTGAAACTACTGATGATGAAAACACTGACAATGACTTGAACCAGACTGGAGGTTGCAATGACACTGATGATGAGACTAAATCAACTGCCTCACTTCTGCCTGCTGAAATGAAGGATGAAACAGGAGAGGATGTACAAGAGGAAGAACTGAGTAGTAGTAGTAGTAGTGCAAAGACGGAAAAAGGGTTTTACCCCAAAGGCGACTCAGATGGACATGAAGAAGAAGAAAGCCTTGGTGAAACACTATCACTCAGTGACTGTGACAGAGATTTAGGTCTTCTAGAACTGAACAGTGGACAAAGTGAAGACTGTTCGCACCTTCCACATGAGACCAAGCTAGAAGCTGGTGGATTTGCATTTGGATTCAATGTGCTTCCAACTGTGACTGAGGAGTATCCCTACGATGTGATTGGCCCAACAGATGATGCTAGTGATACATGTGAGTCATGTGACCCAGCTGAAACGGGCAACACAGAGGTATGGCAACCAGAAAGGGCCACCAAGGACCTCTCTGGCTGTTTCCGATTCACATCCAGCACTGAGGATGTATTCGGGCCTTATTCGGTCATTGAAGCCGTCCCAGTAGATATGGCCCAGACTGCAGACCCTGAGTGGTGTCAGGATAAATCAGATGAGACACCTTCAAATGAACTGGAAACGGCAGATGGGTCTATTCAGGAACCTTACTATGTGTCATCAGATGATGTGGACAAGCTTCAGGACAAGCAAGCCCTCTGTGATCAGGGTGTGACGGAGGAAAGCCCTGAGCTGTCGTATCAGCACAATGACAAAGCAAAGGAATGTGAGTCAGCAGATGAGTATGCAGACATCGATGAGAGTCTCTGTTCTAAAGCAGATGACTTTGAGCATTTGGAGTGTGTTTCCTCTGAGGATTACGTCGAGATTGGAGATGACGATGAGGAGGAAGAAACGGAAAAGATACACGTCAAAGGGAAAAGTGTAAAAGAGAGAACAGCTAAAAGAGAGCAGGCTTTCCTCAGCCAACGTTCAAGCTGCCAGCCTCGCCTCAGATTGTGCAACATCACAGTGCCACCCGATCTAGACCTGGGCCGCACCCCAGAACTCACCAACAGGGTGGTGTTTGCCCACACCACTGAGGCCTTCGAAGAGGACATTGAAGAACTGGACTGCCATATTGTGCCTTACTATGAAGAAACAGACTCAGACAGTGAAGAGCATATATATGAAGAGGCAGGGTTTGACTCTGAAGGGGAAAACTTTGTGATGCTTGATCGGAAGACAGTTGTCTCACGATCACGCTCTTATTCTGGGAAAGTTCCAGGTTATGTCCCTGAAACTGTACCAGAGGAGACAGGGACAGAGTACCAAACACATGATTACTGTACAGTAGCCTTGGAGAAGAACAATGAACCATTTAGAAATTCAAGGCAGCCTGCTGTCAACTGTTTGATCCCCTCAATGAAGTCTCGTCGCTTCTTGTTATATTCCCGGTCCGCAGAGGGTCCTGAGTTGACCTTGAAGAGTCCCACAGAGAGTGGCCAATCATTAAAGGATGACATTAGGATGAGGAGGAAAGATGATACCCTTTCGCTCCCATGTGTTATCACCTCTTCTGGAAGCTTCTCACAGCATAGCCATCAGTCATCTAGTGGCGTTTCCACTCCAACCTCTCTAGTAGACATTCCACCTCCATTCGAGCTGGCATACATCACTAAAAGACCAGTCACTAAGAGTTCCCCATCCCTTCTGATTCAGCATGAACCCAATGATCTTCCTAAGAAGAAGTCCTCGTTCAAGCGCTTCCTTGCTCTTAAGTTCAAGAAAAAGACCGATTCAAAAGGTTTTAGTGATGGAAGTGTCCGCTCTTCACGGTCTTCCTCAGAGTCTAGCCACCATGGCCCATCAAGAGTCATAGACCTTGATCGCAGAAGCACCAGCAGCTCTCCTCAGCTTCAGTCCCACATGGTGAATCCCCAGCAGCGTACCTCAGACCTGCCATCCACCTTTGTCCTGTACAACCAGAGGAGGAAAGGTGACCCCAAAGCCTACGGCAGGGGTGTCTCAAGAGTGGAGTCCTTCGAGGAGCGTTCTAGGCGCTCCCTCATGCCGTTGCCTTTGACCAAACCCCGCTCAATATCCTTCCCCAGTGCAGACACCTCTGACTATGAAAACATCCCAGCCATGAGCTCAGACTATGAGAACATCCAGATACCAGGCAGACCCATCAGATCACACACTGTGACCGAGTTTTTTGAAGACCCAAACCACACCACGATTACCTGCAATGAGAACGATGGCTATGTGGATATGAACAGTTTCCCTGGGATTAACAGCAAGCCCCTGGTATCGACAGATGACACTGAAAGGTAAAGTAAAAGCTGGATAAAGTTAAATGGTTTTCTATCATCTAAACTGAGCCTGAAAGGGCTGATTAAGCCAAGTTACACAATCAAATGTGATCTATACATCAGCATACCTTTTTAACATAAAGCATCTGGCCACTGAAAGAATTTTGACGAGTTTTTGGCCTGTTTTTGAGCAACCGACTTTTTATTTTTTGCAGCCAACTCAACCATCCAGACCAAGAAAACCCTAATAGTCCAGGAACTAGTGTTATTAAGGTCAATTGCATTTTGTTTGTGCTTTTCATGACTTTGGAATTTGCATGTACAATTTAGAATCCACAGGCCTCAGTCATCAGGTTTTTCAGCGCTATGACAATGCCCAATGAAATATGTGTTTATTTTCCTCAGTCATATTGGTGTTGAAATCTGCACCATCAATCACAGTGTCTAGAACTCACATTTGCCACATTTGTAACAATTCTGGCTCCTTAATGTGAATGTTTGCTGGTTTCTTCTGTTGTCCATATTAGTAAATTGAAGACATTTGGTATGGAAGCACAAATCAAGCCGTTTGAAGACTTCCAAATTGACGGATGAAGAATAGGATGGCAAAATTGTCAGTTGTTGCAGTTTTAAATAAGATGTCTCCACACACAAAAAATCCAATACTATGTTGTTATTTATGATCATTAAAAGCGTTTCTCCTCCCAGCCATTCATTCTTGAAACCAAGTATGTTCCCTTTGTAGTCTGAAGAAGAAGTGAGAGTGTTCATCAAGGGAACCACTCTCAAAGTAGTCAGCTGGGTTATTAGGCATGGACCCATCTGCTCAATGGGGCAATCTTGACCCCTGAACAGCTGACAGATAGTCTTACACTGTATCTCAGATGAGCAAAGGGCACCTGGCTGAGAGTTGAATCAGAGCTCCCTCATGTAAGAAAGTGTTCGTTGAGAGATGAGCAGCCTGCTGTGTCAGGCATCGCTGGCTTTAGAAAGATGGACAATGCTTTTGGGAGAGCTTACTCCTGTTTTTTCATTTGGTAGATTTAGCGGTCACATCTGTGCTGCTGCTATACCTCTGCACGTCTTAGGTGAAAGAACAGGTATTGCAATGGGCTAACTCACTTATTTTATTCAAATTAAAGAAAGTCATTATGGGCTGCAATTAAAAGTGCAAAAACGAAGGGAGTGCCTTTCACACAAGGAAGCTGAGAAGAAAGTGAGAGAGAAGGGGGAGGGGATGTGTTAATACAAGGTGCAGGAGAGTAAGAAAACAAGACTAAAGGAATAAAGTAGTATGAAGGAGAGGGAGGGGAAGTGAGAACAAGAGAAAGGGAGCAAGCGCAGTTCCTGTGTAATTGCTCTCCTGTACCTGACACTTATGGTTAAGTTTAGGAGTGCTTTTATTAAAGTAGCTCTCTCTCAAGTGCTTCCCTTTCATTGGACCCTCAAGGGGTATAGCAGGACTTACTGCACTGTGTGATAGATTGAGGAATCACCACGGTCAGACTGTACCAAATTACCCCGGCCCCTGTGCCCCAGCTTCAGCCACTACAGGCCCACTGTCTTTCCCCAGTCTTAATAAAAAAAAGTTGTGTGTGATAACCTGTGTGTACAGACCAAGAGACAGGCCAAGAGCTTCAAGGCTCGGGACAATCTTTGGGAAGTACTTGTGCTTCAATGCTTGTCTTTATTTCCTGTAATATCCTATTGAGCTATATTGTTGCGAAACAATCTGAAAATGCTTAAATAGATTGCGGATGCGTATACAGATCTGCAAATATGAAGAGAATTTGTAGATGTCCACATAATTATAAATGGCCAAAGAGTGTGTTTACTCTAAAGCTGAAAATACATACAAGTCATCATCAGTTAAAACAGAGGCCCCCCTCTGACATAACTGTCTGCTTACACATGACTTTTGTAACACCTCTGCCGTGCAAGAGCCAATTACATGTGATGTGACCCACACATTTGTTGATCTATGTAGGAATTTGCAAATTTTTTCGCAACTCTAAAACCTAATTTTTTCACAATTTCAGCTGTTACTAATTCCAACATTTATTTGTAGATAGCCTTTTATTAGGGTTTCGGCTTTCATTTATATTATTTTCTTCTATTTTTATTCTCAGCCAGACATTCGGTGCAACAGTAGACACAATACTATCGCCAGACTGTTAACATGCAGTGTGCTTTTTAAACTCTCCACATATCCTCCACATTTGAAACCCTCCTACTTCACAGACAATGGCCCCTCAGTGAGAGCTCTTTTCTCTTCAGTGATCTTATCGATGTGGCTCATTGTGTGTCGGAGGTCTCACACCTCTCACAATGATGCAAATAACCTATCTGTCCTGTCACCTCGCCTTCACTGCATTCCCTCCGGAGATGCTGCTGTTGCCAGGGCGGCTCTTTAGTGTGTCTATACGGGGATGGTTTATGTTTGTTTGAGTGTGAATGTATGTGTGTGTAAGTGTGCTGCACAATATTGGACAAGTGTAGTCACTGTAGATGTTTGTCCCTGCTTTTGTGTGTCAGCTTACTCTAAACTCTGTTTCAAAGCTGGACATTACCATTGTCCCAGGCTGCCCGTCTGATGGTGGCAGTGATTTATTGAGATCCATTCATCAGTCAGCGTGGTTTCAGACCCTCATATAGTGGATTTTTGTAGCGAGGGAAATGGCCAAAAGGCCTCAGAGTTCTGCACAAAGTATCAGGCATGCATGTTAAGGAGAACTCACAAAACTGCTGTGCTACAGGCTTGGCTTGTTTCCATTTGTGTGATTAATGTAGAGCACCATTCAGAGCCTACTTCACATGCATTCACGCTAAGCAAAGAGACATGTTCATTAGCAAGCATTGAACAATGGAAAAAGTATGCATGCTAATGATTTGTCCCAAACCTAAACCATGGTGTTTGTTTGTAGAGGTGTGTATGTGTGTGTGTGTGTGCATGTGTGTGTGTGTGTGCGTGCGTGCGTGCGTGTGTCTACAAGTGCATGCAAGCTAAGTTACAACCCAGTGCAGTTTTATCAAAGATGAGGCTCCAGCTGAGAGTGCAGTCTCAGCAGGACTATCCTTGCCAAGAAGCCATGAAGCAACAAATGAGTTTTGAAAAGGGCCAAAAGAAGCCTGGGATTTGTGATTGTGCTGAACTTATGGAACCTATTAAGTGTTGTTTGTGTCCACTTTAAGTAGTTCCTTGTAGACTTATAACACTAGTGCAGATGTGTTGTCGTCCCTGTGTACACTGTAAAAAGAGCTATAGTGGCGCATTGTGCTAATGTATACACAATTGTTCATCTCTAGTTTACCCTTTGGCGTTGTTTTCACATGAAACCATACATGAGACTTCTCAGAGTGATGACAAAGCTCTGCCATGGCCTCTAAAACAGCTCCTCCTCCCACTGCGATGTTAGTAGTGATGAGGGAGCCATCTTAAGTACATTGTTGAACTGGGTGGTGGCTTTGTGCTGTGTGGCGAGCTGGTGGACAGGGCGTGTTGTTGGCTCGCCAGGCCTGGTGCCTGGAGCTCAGAGGTCACTGCCAGGTCATCCCCGGGGAGGAAACGTCCAGTCGTGGAGCTTCCCACCAGTCTGTTTACAGGAAATGCAGGACAAGGGTGGGGCTCTGGCGGGGACAAGAGAGGACAGAAAAGGATGATGGCAAGAGAAGGGGGTCACCATTGTGGTTTGGTGGTTCCCAGACTCTCCCTTGAACAACAAAATGAGGTGTGGTGCGGCAGGTTTCCTTTTATTGGTGCAGAGGTTTGTCAGGAATGCCCTCAGTCTCCCATTTCATGCACCCAAAACTGCAAAGTTAGCATAGTGGAGAAATCAGCTGAAAACGTATGAGCTTTGAGCAAATAACACTGCTGCATATGAATAACAGCCAGCAGCAGTCAAAACACCAGACTCTTCACAAATCTCTTCATCTTACACTGTCAGAATACCACAAGCTAACTGTCAATCATTATCACCAAAATCAGCAAACAATTTAAAACTGCTCCAATTCTCTAAATCCCCTCATCAGTATCCCGATCTGCTATAGTTAGCAGTCTAATAAGCCCTTTCAGCTACTCATATTTCCTTTAATAGCGCCATTACAAGTGGAAAAAGCCTGCCAGATTGCTTTTAATATATATTTAAGTACCCAATGTTGGCTCGATTGAATTACATATTACAGGAATCATCATTCCACAGAAGAAGACAGGTCTTTTTAAGGAGAGTCATTGTGTTCTCGTCTGAATTTGACACAGTAGATTTAACTTTGCCATGTTATAAAAGACATTGGGCTTTGTCTGGAGTAATAGCGTTGCCTTAATGGTATTGTTAAAGGGCCTCATGCACTACCATGCTACCGTATTATAGCCCACCATTTGAATATAGCTAAAACCTTGTGAATCTGACAAGTGCAACTAAAAAAGTAATTTTTGAGATTTTAAATTATGGAAAAATGGGCTAGGTTGATAAAGAACAATATGAACATCAAGCTAAAGCATCTGTGTTAAGAGAGGTTTTCTGACCAAGAAAGCAAAGAGCGCTTAGTTTATAGCACAGATAATGTTTTTCTGTGATTGTGATATTGATGGTACATAGTAGACTAGAGTCAAAAGGTGAGAATACTTTGAGGGGGTTTTCTTGGACATATGAAGGAATTCCCCTCACCCCCCCGAATATATCAAAACCTATGAGTTAATTCAAAGAAGACCCATCCCTTCTCCTCTGTATCCCAGGAGCCCTCACCAGGTTCATCTGTCTACTCTGAGGTCAACCATGAGTAATGGCCAGTATGTGTCTTCTGCAGCCCACCCAAATGGGAGGTGTGTGTGGTGGGTGGGTGTGTGGTGGGTGGGTGGGTGGGTGTGTATGTGTGAATGGAGAAGATCCAGTGGATAACTCTGAAAACCTTTGGTCTTTAATAGCCTTCTCCTCTCTGCACACACAGGAGGGTGTTTAAGACCTCAGGACAATCATCATTATCCTTATACCAGATATGTTTGAGGAAAATGTTCAATTTCTCACATGTTCAGTCAGCCTGATGTGATGTCTTTGAATTAGATGTTACTGTTGTTGGATGTTACTGTAACTTTAACGTGAGCATGTAGCTTCCTCAGGTTTGCCCAGCAAGGCGCTGCCATTCCTGAGAAAGCTACAGGTGAAACGCTTTTTTTGCTCAGTAACAATAAAATCATTTTCAGTATGCCACGGATTATTTATTTATGATTTAATTATATGTTCCTGCAACTGACCGGCGCCTAAGAATGTAGGTTGGCTGTGCATGTAGTACCCTGTGGGTCATAGATATAGTTATGTAAAGGGAAAGCACAGAAGACGTTTGTCAAAGAATTGGTTTCACTGAAAGATTCAAATGACCAGAATGCAAAGCAGCTCCAGAGTTGTTTCATTGCCAGAAAGAATTGCAGATGTCGTGAGAATTACTGATGTTATAAATCCTAGAATTCATTCATTAACTCAACATACATCACTATTCTGTATCATTGCACGTAGCGTCTTCCAAGTTGGCCTTTGTGTTATTTGCGTCTAACAGTACGGTTAATCGTTTTCATATATGCATCATGACATATTCCAGATTTGTCACAAGATTTAGCTTTTATATCTTACTGGTGGTTAACTTTATTATGTTGCCGAGCATGTATGCTATGAAACGTTTTCATAGTTTACAAGTTAGCAGCTACATGGCAGATATATGACAGCTATAAAGGTCAAGCTGTCCTACAGATGTTATTTAGCTTATTAGACAATATACCCAGTTAACATCCTATTGTTATCCTCCACGTGAATGTGGTCAAATACACTGAGTGGATCTTAATGGGTCAGAGGACATTTTATAATTACCACAGGTTGCATTTAAGGGGATTAAGTGTGAAATGACCTAAACCGTGCCCCCCCCCCCCTCAGGTACAGCAGCACACAAAAGGATTATCAGCATAAGAACACAACTGTGCCATCTGTGGGAAGAACCAATCACAAGAGGGATTACAGAGTGCCACTGGAGGACTCCACATGAGGAGTGGAAATGTTCAGAGACTCACACAGGAAAAGACAAACCATCTATTTCCATATCCCTATATTTCTCAGGGTGTTTAGGCTATATGCTGCGTCAAAGAATACAGCTGCTTATACTGTAAATGTGCTGTTTGGAATTTGTGTCCCTCATGTATATTTGCATCTCCAACTGGAAATATTCATGCTCTTTCTTTATGGGGGGAAGTATTGCCATTTAAGCAATACTACAATGAAGATGCTGCCATAGTATTAAATATTCATATGTATTTATCAGTGCTGTAAAACTGCATTTATACTTTGGATTCTCCTTCTTCCCCTGGCAGTGCCTACACAGAGCCTTTCCCAATGAACCCCGTCTCCGCTGGGCTGTCAGCGGATGAGGATCATGGGCGGACTTCAGAGGAGGAAGAGGGGGCTGGGGAGCAGTGTTACGACCGACAGGTGAGATATGGGATACAGAGACAAATGGATTCAGGTAGGAAAGAGGTTAATTCAATCCTTGAAGCAAGAAATGAATCCAGAAAATCAACACTTTGAAAATAGTATGCTACAGGAGTCCTATTGAATGATAAATCAAAAGGCATCAGGTTGGATTTTTAATTAAAGTTATAAGAATAAGTCTATGTCGTAGATATGAATGAAGATGTCATTGTCCCATAAAATCATTTCCCTAATTGAAATGATTCAACTCCCCAGACATCCATACAGTAAAAGGCAGACATTTTACAGTAGCTCAGATATGGACCCCTCCCTTCCTGCTGCTAACACAATAATACCAGAGTCCTTCTCTCGTCATGGCGCATACATTTCCTTGTTTTCCTTTCTTCAAAAGATACATTTAGTTTTACAATACAATAAACTAAAGGCAAAAAACAAAAACAAAGGGGAAGATGACCAGAGATAGTTCACTTGGCTCCAGGAACATTTTAATTCAATGAAAGTGTGTTTTGTTTGTATGTGGCGAAAACAAGGATCCGATTTTCTTTGAGTCAGTGTTTGTGAACTGCCCCTCATAGGAAAAAATAACACTGATACAGGAGCTTTGCTGGTAAACCCCTAAATGGCTTTAATGTTATGTTTTCGGTCCGGATGTTTTGGGTCCTTGTGATTGGCCTCTAAATGAATGGGCAGCATTGTTGTCACCACACACACACACACACACACACACACACACACACACACACACACACACACACACACACACACAGCCTCTCATACATAATGCATCTGAATTTAAACGTTCCCATGTTTGAGAAAGCCCTCGTCTTTGCTGCCCTGTAATAAAATAATCAGTCTTATTCTTGACAGCAGAATCTAACAAATGAAAATATAAAAGTGAATTTGCTTTTTCGACACTCTCCTTGGCCGCTGTGTAGCTATAATGTTGAGAGTGATAAGTGCCCACAGAGAGCCTTTACACATTAGCTGTGTTCATTCATCTCCCACTGTTCTCCCTCCCTGTCACACAGATTGATGGCCGTTCCCGAGCTTTCTATGTCGCCAAAGAGCTCGTCGACTCGGAGAGGCTGTGAGTATTTCCCTATTTGCACACTCCTACTGCATGTCATCATCACACAGAACAAGGCTGTATACAAATCCAATTCAAATGTTTGGTGTCTTCTTAAATTGCTGAATCTTACAAATGTACCTTTCCTGCTCCTTAGCTAATCTATTGAGCTGCATGCAGAGAAACTGACAGACGATTACACAGGTGTCTGGTGTAATTTATTAAATACAACATCCTTGTCCTTGTCCTGATACACACTTAAACGTTCTTTGATGTAGTTTACTCATCCTGCATAATTTAGGTGATTTAATGAGTCTTGTCGAAAGATTAACACACTTATGCAGAAGGTTGTAAATTCCCTTTTTCACAGTTGAATTCATTTCTCTCCTCCTGTTTTCCAGACATGTTAGCGCCCTCAAGCACCTTCAAGAGGTAAGAAAACCCTCTGCTGTCACACCATTATTGTGCCACATTAGCTTTAAATGTGTCCTGCTTAAATGCCCATTAAACTTTCTTGAAAACCTCCATGCAGATAACATCACATCCTGTGTGTCTGCTCCCCAGTCTCTGTCTCCATCTTCTCCTCCTCCCGCCTGTTGTAAGGCTCTGCTCAGGTTTATCAATGTTGTTGCAGCGAGATCTACTTCCTGGTCTTGACAAAGTTGACGTGTCCTACTGGTGTGGCCGGTTGTAAGACGACAGCGTGCGTCCACCAGGCGCTCTCGCTGATGCAGCCTGTGTATCTAAACTGATATGTGTACTCTGATACTATAGCCACTCTTTTGGCAGTCTGCCACCTAAAGGTCACAAAAAGGCTGTCGGGGCCTTTTATTTTAGTAGTGGATTCAGAAAAAGCAGTGCCCTCTGAATACTTAGATGGCTGTCTACCAATGAGTCTAGTTCTGATCGAGCTTTTTGCCTTTAAAAAAAAATGCTTTTTCTTTGCTGCTGTCACCAAGTGCTTACTATAAGTTGGGTCTCTGTAAATAATGTTGCTTAGAGTATGGTTTAGTCCCCTTCTCTATATGTAAAGTGTCATTAGATAAAATAAAAACTGACTGGTTGATTGACATTTATCTTAAAATACCACCAAAGTGATACTGAAACACTTAGAATATCTATTTATGATTGATCCAAGAGGAAAGTCATACAGAAGCGTTCACATATGAATAGTTTGAATGAGTCAGTGTAAAGTCGATGATTTCTCGAACAAATCTGACAGGAAGAGGCATTGACGCTGTAGAAACCCATCAGTCACGCGTGTACCTTCTAACCTTGAACAAGGTCATAACCTGAATTTCTTGTGTCCCTCCCTCAGCGTGATTTATGAACGCCTGCTGCCTGTATAAAAAGCAGCTGATTTGTGTAATATGTCATTTGAAGCCATTAAACAGTCAACTAATGCAAATATTATACAACGGAGCCCTCTAATAATCCTGAATCTGCAACCTCATCATGATGCTCAATTATACTAATTAGCTGATGCATACCAAAGCTCAGACGAAGACGTATGTTGAAAACTATATAGTGGGCATTTGACAGTAATGTTCACGAGTAGCCTGAATGATTTAAATTCCTAAGAGGAACTTTTGGTTTGTGGAGATTTTAGTGCCCCCTGTGGACAAAGAGGTGCCCCTTATCTCGTTACTGACTTTGTCCTGTATATGTTAAAGTTGTGATTTCTGGCATAAGATACCACCTGGGTCTGTTTTAAGAGTCAAATCTTTACAAAAAACATGAATATTTGCTGTGTGGTAAATGTTTTTATCAAGTCTGTTTCTGCAGCGTGCTGTTAATAACTTCGTCTGACACCTATTCTGCGGCATTGTTTACAGGAATTAATACTAATTATACAGACATAGTCTTTATGCTGCTGATCGTGGGTGTTTTTGTAGGTGATAATGAGACATCAGATTTCCACAAAAAATCTCCACAGGAGCTTTGAGATATTTTTCAATGTAAGTTATCTATTTAAACAAACGACACAATAAGAGCTTCTTAGTAACCTCTTCTCTGTTTCACCGTTATGCTTAATTTTATTTTTTTCATCATGCTATTGCAACATATATAGACAGTGTTAGGGTGTTGCTATTCCTCTAACGTCAAACAGTGATGTAGTGAGATAAATGTTACTGTTGATGCTGACTGATGTCAGAAAAGGCATGAAGCTGAAGTACATAGTTTGGAAACACGCCAGCATCCCCCCATGCACAAACTCACAGTTTTTGGGGTTTTTTTGGTGGGGGGGGAGAAACAACAGAAGCATGAGTGTTAAGTGAGAGGCACACATGAGCTATTGTTCCATTGTTTGATAAGGAATAACAAGAATACAAAGAATTTCCAGGCCCGGTGTCCACATAGGAAGGGAGGCCGTGCTCCTCTTCTAAAGGCCTTTCCCTTTAACAGCTACAACGTGTGAGCCTCAGACTTTTTTTTCCTCATTTGTAACCCTTGATATAGTATGAACAGATTCTCTGGGCTGAGTTATGAACGAGCATCACTGGCTGCTCAACCAACTGCTTAATGCTGGGTCTTGACCTGCCTTACAGGAGGGAAATAGGGATAAAGTGGAGAGTGCAGAGCAAAATTAAAAGTAGAGCTCTCTCTATTCACTGATCTGAGCATGAAGTGCGTGTGTGGCTGGTCAATGTGCATGATGGACGGTGGGTTCTGAGAGTGTCGGCACATTATCTCACAGCCGACTGGGACCACTCTTTATGTTTTATGTCTATGCTTAACTCACATGGGCTCCAGACATTCTCCCTTTCAGAAACACACTGAAGCTTTATGTATGACATTAGTTTACTGGCTGTACATGCAGAGAAAACATTTGGACACCTCATATGACTCACTTACTTTCATTTTTTATTTTTTTTATCTTACTTTGCTGAGTAGAGAAGTAGCACCCTCTCTGTTTTTTTACTCCCATAATTCCTCATATTGGTCCACTTAGTCTCTGACACTGCAGCTATTAATGCCTTTCTTGTTGTTTTATGTGAGCTGATTGAATGGACTTCCATTGGCCAGAATTCACTCCAATCAGTGGATTTTCAGGTTTTTGTCTAAAAAATGGGGTTTACGTACAAAACAGCATTGTATCATAGAGAACCAAGGTCATTATGCAACAACACCTGGTGTGTAACAAGCAGTTGCCGCCTTTCCTAAATGCTTGGATAGAGCCCAAAGTGGCGGGAGGCACTGAGGTGATTTGAAAGGAGGAGGGGGACAGGAAGGATGTTTAGGAGGATCTGACCTTCCTTCCTTCCATTTTTCTCCCCCTCTTCATTCCTCCATGCCTCTTATTTTTCCTGCTCTCCCTCCCTTCTTCCTTTTCATCCTACCCTTTCTTTCTTTCTTATTGTTTACAATCTGTTCCTATGCCATACACTTGTCTCTCCTTACTAATCCTGTTTTTCCTCCCCTGCACAGGAATTCAGGTCAGCGGTAACAGAGGTGGAGAGTGAAGATGGAGAGCCAGTGCTGGAGGAGCAGAGGCTAGGAGAGATACTAGGCGTGCTCCCTCAGGTCTACAGCCTCCATAGCAGCATCCTCTCCGAGCTGGAGGAGCGCATCAGTCAGTGGTAAGAAACATGTGACTTTTACAAATGTAACAATACACAGGATCTCAGAATGACTTATGCGGTATAGATGGGGGGTAAAGACACTTTTTATATGGCTCTAATTTATTCTCTACAAGGTCACAATTATAACTCTACATTATACAAATGCTGCTTTAAAATGCATGAGAATTCAAAGGTTGTTTCTCAACCAAGAAGCCTGGCATATCAGCTATTTCACCATCACACTGCAGTGCTTTTTAGAATTAATAAACCTCATAAACTCGTGATTTTATTCTCATTTTGGTGCTCATTCTTCAAGGGATAATTTGACATTTTGAGAAATGCACTTAGCTTTTATGCTTGGACTCCGATTGAAAAATCAATACCCATATCGTGTCTGTGCACTGTATAAAAGGCAGCCAGCTAGCTTGGCTTAGCAGAAGGTCTGGAACAAGGGAGGAAAAGCCTTCCTCAAACCAAAGGTAAATAAGACTTCTTATCAACACTCTTCTTACTGACCAAAGCATGTCAATTCCACTGCCAGGGGGCTCTCAATCAAATCAATAACAAAAGATCACGTCAAGGCAGGCAGGGAATCATGAGAGTGGGTCTGATTCTCCAGCCCCACCCCTGATGAAAACAAACTCCATGTAGATCGTAATCAAGACAAACATTTACAGACGAGACAATGTATCAAAGTATAATTAACATTGTGTCACAGCAGCACATACAACAACAGCACAGCAGCTTTCAGGAACAATTCCCGCTTCCTTATGTAGCACTCTTTGATGTAACATCCGGTGTTTCCACAGCAACGACAATGGCGTGGTGTCTTCTGCGACAAGACACGTCCCCTTACAACTAAGAAATGAAGGATTTCTCTGGCTTTGATAACTGACAGAAATGTTAGAGGTTATGTACTCAACAACAAATATGAATGACATAGGTTCAGTCCATATTTAATTAATTTAGATATTTGATTGTAAAAATTCTACATATTGTATCTTTAAGTTAAGATAGGATCACATTGAGTGTGGCAAAGACCTTCTCATCAAACTCTCTGCTTGAAATCAAAAAGGCTTATTGTCCAAACATCTTAGATACCAAACGTTCATTTTAGGTTACAAGTGCAACCCCCAAAATTCCTGTTGGCCTTTCATTAGTCTACTAGTAAAAGTGACAAATGATAATCTGCGAGAAATTTTAAGCACTATTTTAAAAGCTATATTATTACTTCTTATCTAAAAAATATAGTGTTTACAACTTTTTAGCAATGGCTGTCAAGCATTATAACAAAACATTCAGAAACTCAGTTACTTTGGGAGAAGATGGCCATTTTGTTTTTCCTTAAAGAGTCCCTGATTGATGGAATGCATTGTTTTTTTTGGATTTTCTTTTATGTTTATGTCAAAGCATTCACATTCACTTTTTCATCTGAAATGTCTAAAAAGAATGGACTTTTATCTTCTGTGCAGGGAGGAGAGTCAGAGGGTGGTAGATGTCATCCTGTCCCGTCAGGAAGAATTTCGGGTGTTTGACACCTACATCTCCGAGTATGATCGCAGTATGTCCCTACTGGAGGAGAGCTGCAGGAACAACCTTGTGTTTGCCAGCATCGTCAAGAAATTTGAGGCAAGGCACTGAACAGAATTACTTACTATAGACCTGAGTGGACAAAAAGTAGCTCTGTTAGTTTTTAGGTCTATTTCAATATTTTTCAGTATTTTGTGTTTGTAAAGATCCTCTTTAAAGGGGGACTTGTAAAAGTAGCAGTCACATATTAATATCTCAGGTTTGGTTTCTGTATTTCTGAAGGAAAAGTAAGGCCTTATGGGGGTTTCTGGGGTGCAGAGATTGAACTGTTTTTCTCCTCTGACTCTCATGCAGCCTCTCTACATTAGAGGAGATACAGTCTTTTTTTAAAGCCTCTCTATCCCACCTCTCTACACGAAACCGACCTTTCCACTGTCATGCTCACATTTTTAATTCCCACTCCACACCAAATACCCATTCTTTGTCCAGCATGGATCTCTTCATCCTTGATCCCTGTGGAGAGCAGGGAAGTGGGATTTGGGTGGCGGGATCATAACTCAGTAACAGCTCATTCTAATACCATAGCACAGATTGTGTGCCTGGTCTACTTAATCAAAATGTTATCCTTGTATTCAATACCAGTGGCTATATTCCCAGCTAGTAACAATGCAGAAACTATTTTTAAATAAAAGGCAGGATATTAAGAGAGCCCATAGATAAGAGCACAGCGATAAAGCCAGATTTCTCATTTCCATGCTGGCTGTGCCCTGATCTATAGAAATGATTCATAGTTCACAGCAGATGTGAAGCAGCACACGGGTCAGCCAGAATAAAGAATTGTGTATACTCATTTAGATTTTGTTTTATCAACTACGTATATATCCAATTATTGTGCTACAATGTGTGTATTGCACAGCCATCAAAAGCCTCTCCTGAGCTCCTTTTTAAATTCTGGTTTAACAAAGTTAACTGTTCATCCAAGCACCTCTCTCCCCAAATGTTTCAACCAATCAATCAATCTTTCTTTGTATATCACCAATGCATAACAGATGTTATCTCAAGAAACTTTAAAAAAGCAGGCCTGGACTTGTTTTATTACACATAACTGATAACACAACATAATTGGTTCCATGTTGTACTCTGATTAGCTGCCAGTGGCTGCCACAATGGTTCCAGGCATTTCTAGTTTGATAAGAAAAGTGAACAGACAAGGCTCCGACTGTCTGCCCTTATGAATATTCAGCCACAGCTGCCCTATGCCAGAACAAATTTGGCTTTGCCAGACTTTAGTGGAGTTAATGTAAATAGAAAAGAGTGGACGTGAGAGAAATAGACTTTGAAACAATGTGTTCAGTAAACATCGACCTTTAGTATCTTTTAGCATGTTTTCACGTTGTAACCTACTTGAGCTAAATATTTGGCCCTTGATAACCTTGGTTGTAGTCAAAAATGTGCATCTTAGTTAAAGCCTTCATGATATAAGTCCCTTTGAATACATCATCACTACCTCACTGCTTTCTGGTGCATCCATACATTTATTTTATTTGGCAAGAGGGGAAAATGAATCATCTTATCTAACAAAGCTTAGAAAATTAGTATGATAAAAAATGTTCTATGTTTTTTTTCTTTCTTCTCACCTGTGTCCACATAAAGACTGTGACTCATCTTACACCTTAAAATGAACACCCAAAGGCCTCTTCAATTACCTTTTTTCTCACTTCCATGGCAGATTCACCACACCTGCCACTGCACCCACACACTACATATAACATTTACTTTTCCCACATTGCATGTAAGCCTGTTATCTGGGGGCTTTCCTACCCCACCTCCCACACCAGGGCACGGTGTGTGTGCTGTATGTGTGATGGATGCTGTGTTGAATCAGAGCACCGTCTTGGGATTTGCAAGGTGTGTGTGACCTCGCTGTAATGAGGGAGAAGTGGAGCTGAGGGAGAGCAAAGAGTATCATACAGGTCAGAGGATGCCCTATACGTACAAACTGAGAGAGAGAGATCGGTCATTTATCTGCTGGCTTTGTGACAGAACACAAATCATTTTACATAAAAGAACTGGAAAAACTGATTTGAATGTTTTCATTACGTGCTTTATTCTGTAAAATGTTCATTCTGTATCAATTATAGCCATTTTTCAATTTCTCTTTTTCAAGACTAAAACTCTTGCCTTTCTCAAACCCCCCCCCCCCGCTGCTGCGGTTTATTGCTACAAGCCAAGTCCAGCAGTTTAAGTGGTAGTAATTTCATTGTGGATGTGGTGATGACAGTGATGAAGTAGCCACAGACCCTGATCCGATCAGAGCCAGACCCTTACAGGATTAAAGCCTTCTCTCCACAGCCAGTTTCATGTGTATCACACCATCCATAAACATTGGCCAACACAGTGCAGTGTGTGTGTGTGTGTGTGTGTGTGTACATGTTTGTGTCTGTGTTTTGTTTTAGAGTGCTTCTGTGCCTCAGTCTGTGTCCGTGTTTGTTTTGGAGGGGCATATCCATACGCACATTTTGCAGATCTTAATGAAACTTGTTTGATGAAATCTCTCCAGCTTGGATTTATATTCATGTCATGGCTCTTGTTTGTGGTTTTCCTCTTTTGCAAGAAGCCCAGGAGGAAAGGAGGAGGAGGCTGTGCAGCAGGTGGACGGAGAGCGATAGTGGAAGAGAGTGATGGAGTGAATTCCTCGTAAAGGCAGCTGGGCAATGAGGCAGACAGAAGCTAATTAGAGAAGCAGCCTCCTTCACAACTCCCCAATTAGATCAGTTGTGTGTGTGTGTGTGTGTGTGTGTGTGTGTGTGTGTGTGTGTGTGTGTGTGTGTGTGTGCGTGTGTGCATGTGTGTGTGTGTGTGTGTTGGTGGAGTTATGGGGCATCACACGCTCCCTCTTCCCTCCTCCTCCATTTTGGTCGAGCACCCAAACAAACCACGCTCTAATTACCATCTCTGGAAAAAGTCACTTCTACTGAACACGTGTCAATTGGATGATAATTTACAAGCGACACTTGAGGAGGGCAGATGTTTCGGAGGCATAGCTGGTTAAATAATAGAAAGATGCTTATTATTGCGCTGAATGCATAATAATGATAACTTTATTTAAATAGAACTTTTCAGTGCAGTGCTTTAAAGAATAAATCAAGGTGAGATAGTACAAACAAATACACAGACAAATAAATAAAATCAGAGGATCCAAACACAAGTTCAACATATCAATAAAAACCTGGAAGTACAACAAAGGCAACAGTTAAGATGAAGCTAAGCGGAAAAGAAAGAGTTTTAAGAAGAGATATACCAGGCAGTCTGCAGGCAGTGTGTTCCCCTGAGTTGGCAGGATTGGAATTACCTGATTTTGGTGGATTTTATCAGTTGAGCAAAGTAAGATGCATAACTTTGGTCACCTGGATGTCATAGGACAAAATCTGGGTCAAAAATTACAACTAGGTTGTGGAGGGTAGCATGTAAACAGCGAATAAGAGTGAAACTAAAACAGACTCCTGGGGGACCCCACAAGAAAGAGGAGAGGAAGAAGCATCCTCAAGCATGACAGAAAAAAAGACAGTTTGACAGATAGGAAGTGAACCAGTCCAGTGCAACACCACTGATGCCAACAGCGTACTTGAGACAGCGTATTTAGACACCTGTTCTGGCATTATCAACCTCATGCAGTGACCAGGAGAGAGAGGGAAAGTGTTCAGATAAAAGTGAGAGAAACGCAGAAGGAGAGTGTTCATGAGGACTACATTTAAGGAGAAAGGGATGACAAGATGAGAAAACAAAAGAGAAAGGAAACAAAGGGGGGAAAGTTTGTATTTCTGAAGGCCTCTTCATTAACAATGGCACAAGCACTATACCCTCTTAGTTCTGAACTCCAGACTGTGATAATTAAGACAAAGACCGACATGTTCAACCAGCATCCCTCCCTTTACAAGTCTAATCACCGTTATCTCATCACCAGCCTCTGGTCTGTGTGTTTGGAGCTGCTTGTGTGTAGGAGTCTATCAATAATGTATTGTTCTAGTTTGTGAATGTGTGCGTATAGTTCAATGTGTTTGTGCGGGGCCCTGTGTGTGTTCATGATTGTGTAGTATAAATAAAATGAAGATGCTGTTTCCCGCAGGGTGTTATCTCTGCCCTCTGCCTCTCTAATGTAGGACTTCATTGGATTAGAAAAGACTGCATCTGTGTGTGTGTGTGTGTGTGTGTGTGTGTGTGTGTGTGTGTGAGAGAGTGTGTGTGCGTGTGTGTGTGTGTGTGGGTGTCTGGTGCAGTCCCCCGTTGCTTCACCACCGCTCAGGGCATAAATACCTGTCAGAGACAATTAGATCCAGATTGATTTTCCAAAGCTCTCTTTGATTGCTCCTATTTCTGTCCCCTTTCACCTGCAAATGTCTGCTCTGGGAAGAAGAATGGGAGTTGTTTAGGGTTTTTGTGTGCTGGAAAGACGTTTGAAGGTCGGCCAGTGGGCCAGTGTTCCCTTGGTCTCCTTTGACCTTGACTTACAGCAGCATATAACAAAGGTTACCTGCATTTAGAAGAGGTATTGTTTGGTGGGTGATTCTCAGATCATCTTTTCACAATATGGATTGATTTAGGTGTATTTAAAAAAAGACTGATATCTTGTGTATATTAAATGTAACAGAACTAAAGACTTACATGAATGAGAACAACTTGAGAGCTCATACTAGTTTTTTCCTTTAGCTAATATATCTCACTCGGGTCTCACTGCGTGAGCTCACAAATACTGATGTCACAAGGTCACAAATACAGATATATTTTTATGTGTTTTGTATTTGGTTGTATGTATGTGTGCAGACAAGAAGCCCAGACGAAGCTGAAGTCCCACTGAAGCACCAGCTGCTGCAGGTTATAGTGAGAGTACTTCAATATCGAATGCTACTCACAGGTAACACAAATACACACATCTGTTCAAAACACTCAAAATATGCAAGATCATTTAAGTGTTTGCTGCATAGAAAAACATCAAAAACCTTTTTACAGTGGCAAATTTGACTGAAGAGAGAAACATTTCTGAGGTTACAGAAGCTTATAGTAGCCTACGCTACTTTCTGTTTACACAGCAAACCAAGAAAGCTGTTGCGGTACAACCCTGTATTGTACAGAAGTCAGCAAGAGTTTGTTTTATTACTTGTAAATTTTTCAAAGTTTTCATATGTAAGATGAAGAACTTGCTATTTCTTCTAAATGCTCTCCCTGTTAAGTTCACAAATGCTAGAGAAGATTGGAGTATGAGCATAAGGTGCAAGATTAAGATTAGCCTTGCTCACTGAACAGCCTAAAATTGGATTTAAAAATTCACTTATCGTATCACATCTTTTGGTCTTTAACATCTTTGTTTGTTTGATTCTTCCCTAGATTACCTGAACAACCTTTCTCCTGACTCGAAAGAATACGAGGACACACAAGGTAAACTCGCTTAATGGACCTCTGTGATGTTCAAAACCAAAGCCTTTCCTTCATGTCTTTCCTTCACTCCTTCAAAGTCATGTCTTTGTGGTTGTCAAACACACACTGCCACTTGCACACTGCAGCTGCTGGACATGTATCAGGCCGGAGTTGTTGAGGCACAGCAACTGAGTGTTTTTATTGAATTTGGTTGTGTGTAAATCTCTTTCTTTCTCTCTCTGTTTGTGTTGCAGCTGCCTTGGTGATCGTGTCCGAGGTTGCAGACGAGGCCAACGACAATCTGAAACAGGGGGTGAGTTTACTCTGTATACGCTCCATGTGTTTAGATCATTCACACTGTTTAGCTCCTGTTGTGTTTGATATATTCACTGCCCAGCGTGCCGTTATTGAGACGCGTCTTTATATTCTACTTGGCAATGAAAGAGCAATTTTCTGAAGGAGATCAGGCGTGAAGAAGATAGACAGCTGAGGTTTTGCCTTGTATGAATCCCTCTTTTAAATGATGTGAAGGAGAGGTCTATCCCTCTGTGGCTTTAGCCTCCACAGCTTGTTGAGTAATACAAGGGGCGAGGAAAGATGATGTCATCAAGAGTCCCAGGTGTATGATTACAAAGGGAGCAGTGTAAGGGTATAGACAAGACTAACATCCCACCCCCCAAACATGAGCAGTTCATGGAGATAATTCCTGGACCTCTCCCTAACGTCTTTCTCGCCTCTCTCTGTCAACATCGCCTGCGCCTCACATTGGCTTTCCTCCTTTTGAGCACACTCATCTTTTTCTGTGCACATGCACTGATACACACACACACACACACACACACACACACACACACACACACACACACAGGCTGACAGAGTGGAAACACAGGATCCTTTTCATTCACAAACAAACAAGGACAGTTTCATTCTCCTGTCTCCTCTTCCGTCCATTACTGGATAATCTCTCTGTCTTTATCTCACTCCCTTTATCTCACTGCTGTCTCTCCCCTCAGGAGAATCTGCTGCGTCTGGTCCACATAGAATACAGCGTGAAGGGCAAAAGAGACCTCCTGAAGCCTGGAAGGGTGAGCACACAACATGCAAGCAGCGTTGCAATCAAAACACAGCATTTAAAGGCCTTGACTGGATCTTAACAGTGCTTTGTGTCTTGTGTTTTTCTTTGTGTGTTTCTTTTGGCAGATGTTTGTCAAAGAGGGCACACTCATGAAGGTCTCAAAGAAAAGCAGGCAGCCCAGACACCTGTTTCTGGTAATGTGCCTATCTTGTTAACATACCACTTCTCACTTTCAGACACATTATTAGACCATATATGTGTGCGAGCATTTTAAATACCATTTTCCCCTTCTGTTGTTTCAAAGTGATATTTTAACATTTTGAAAGACATGTTTTTGATTCTCTTGCTGAAAGTTTAATAAGAACATCTGCTCTACTATTATAAATTGCTATTCAAAATATACATGGCAAACAATTAATCAGTTTAGCATACAGACAGCAAGCATTAAAGCAAGGTTAATCGTGTTGGAATTTATTTTATTTTATTTATTTGTTTATTTTGACAGGGACAGTGTACAGCCAATAAGCCGTACCAGAGTTAGCTATAAGCTAATTTACATCTGTATTCCCTGGGCAGGAGAGAGAGACAACGTCTCTGTGAAGAAACAAAACATACACTAACATCTTCACAACAGTACACAACCACTGCACAATAACCTTACATTAGTCCACAGGGAAATTCACACATGATATGAAAATAATAATAGGCTAACAGCACTATTGTGTGATTGTTTTTTTGTTTGTTTGTTTTTTCAATAAAAAAAAAACCTGCTGACTTTCAGCACTTAACTGCCTACAGTTGTCATGCCTGGTTCCATCCAAACAATCTGTATGAATCTGAACCAGCACCTCTAGATTTAACTCACAAGCTTCTTTTAATTCATTTGTGTTAAAATGACAATTTGTGGTTTAATCAATGGTAGAGTGCCAGCTTATCTCTTGTCAAATTGGAGCACTGGCTTACTGGATTCTGTTATTTTCTGCCAACCTAGATACAAAGTAAGACATAGCTGTCTTTCCCTCTTCCAAGTCTTTATAACATGCAAACCACCGGCTGGCACCAGCCCTGAAATCGATGGACACACATGAAAGCAATTTAAATGTTCTCATCCCACTCCAGACAACAAAGCAAAGAGCTGTGCCCCAAATACATGTAAAAATGTAAAACTGCTTTTTATAGGTTAATATCAATGCACTGTATGTGACAATATGCTGTGTACTCCCTTGATCCAACTCTATATTGAGCCTGTAGGATGTTTACCCTATGTTATTTACCCCTAATAAATGCAATGTATGTGACATGTTTGTCGTGATAAACTAGTTCAGTTATCGCTACATACATGCTGCAGCACAGAAAGAAAACACCTGTCATATCGTAGAAAATATGGCAAAAACAAAATTAGCATTGTCTGCGTAAATATTGGGGAATGTTGGGCGTAGGTCAGTCTGCGAGGTAGGTGAGGTTTGTTGGGGGGGGCACAAGGCCAAGGCTGTGAGACCTCCACTCTACACCACACCCATCGGGTGAGGGCCTTTCTTGCCGTTCTTCTCCTCTCCTCTCCTCCCCTCTCCTCCCCTGTCAGGGCTTGTTTTCCAGGGGCCCCACTTCCTTACAGGATGTTTGGTGTGGGTCACTGGATGCTGGCTTCCTGTGTATTGGGAGGGGACTGACAGCAAAGTGAAGGCCAGACACCCTGTAGAATGCAGGGAGGAGGTGGTGGTGCTACACAAACACATAATGTGAAATGGAGAAGCCCACTCTATTGTTCCATGGTGCAGCCTGTGCTGTCTCATGCTATGAATTATGCCACAGCTACATATCCGCAGGAGCTCTTTTTATGATTCTGGCTGATACTGTTTAATACAAATAGAATATAACGTCCAGATTTCATTTTATTTATCTTTATTTGCTCTATTCCATTGTTCCGCCGTCCTTCCAAACAGGATTACATATGAGCAATTGCTGGAAAAACAAGGCATGCTGTTTGATATTTGTGGGCTATTAGAGTTCTATGGCCATTTGCTCCCTCGAAGTCGAAGGCTTCAGTGGGTCAGGTGTTATTTATGGGCTTTTAAGGAAGGAGAATCTAGACAACAGTGAAGATGAAAGCCATCATTCACCTCAGTGACAGAGAGAAGCTGCAACTGTGTCACAAGCCTGGGCTCGGAGAAGACAGAGAAGTGGGATGAGTGGGGCTAAGAAGGAAGATGGAGATACAGAGAGCTGCTAGACAGAAGTTAATGTGAGAAAGAGAGAGGGGTTATTGAAGGAGAAGAATGCCCCTGTTTAAAGAGTGGGAGAATTTAAGTCGAAAATGGTGTAACTCATCTGGAAAAGTCGTTTGTGAAATCTCTTACCTTGGAACTTTGCTCCATTTCTCTGGCAGGAATCTCTCAGTTAATGAGCAGCGCAGGGTGGAGCAGACGGACTGTAGTGGCTTTAACCCAGAGGTCGCCAGGCTTGGCTATCATGCACTGTTTTGTCTGCAGCAAGCCAGCCAGCCTGTTAGCTTGTTACTGTGACTTTTTGTTTTGTTGTTATTGTTGTGGTGAAGGTAGCGGTTCCACCCAGTCGTGGTTTCTCAGTGCAGTCTGTGAAGTTCTGGGAGTGTGAGGGGAGGCCTGGAGTCCAGAGCAGGGTGGAGAATTCCTGGATGCTGCCTTTACGGCCCCAGCGGATGTTTAGAGCACACATTAGGTGTGACTGATGATGTCATCTCTTTTGTCTGGGAAAATATGAAATACCTCTTGCAACACAATGGACTCTTAGTTTGTTCACAGGACCACAACGCTTTTTGGTTAGACAAGCAAATAAACACTTTTAATGCCTTCTTTTTGTTGTGTGTGCATACATGGGTGTGGGTTTTTTTTTTTATTTGTTGAGGGTCTGAAAAGACGTGTGAAAGCTGTAAAGGGAAATAGAATATAAGTAGTTTGCTTCAGGAAGTTGCTTTCAAGAAAGACAGAACAAGCTAAGAGGTATTTTCTGTACATTTACTTTTCCGTCTTAAGAAAACACCACCACCTTGTGGTCATTGGGGAATATTTATTCTGAAGAGCAAGGAATCGAGTTTTAATTGTATTGACTTGGTATTCTTATTTATCTACTGTTTTATACTTTTAAGAATGTAAACTTATATATGTTATCCATCCCTTTTCTTTTTCACAACAGATGAACGATATAATGCTTTACACATACCCTCAGCAGGATGGCAAATACAGACTAAAGAACACACTGTCTCTCTCTGGGATGAAGGTACACTACCGTTTCACTTTTCTTACAGTCTCGGAGTAACAATCTCAATGTAACTCTATATTCTTTTTTTTGCTGATCTGTTCTGTTATGTTACCCCTCACACAGGTGAGCAAACCTCTCCTGGACAATGTGCTGAACTGTCTTAGGATTGAAGTGCTTGACATCACTATAACACTCTCTGCCAGGTGAGTGTGTGGATTTAACAAGAAACCACTTCCCTTGTCAGTCTCCTCTTGACTCCAGACCATCATTCTTAACTCATCCAGGTGTAACACGTGTGATTCTTCACTGTTTCTTTCTTCAGCTCTGTTGGCGAGAGGGAGGACTGGTTCCACACATTGAGTCGAGCCATAGCGGACCACGCTGCAGGACTCTGTACGTTTGGTGGACCCTGCAGTGAGGTAAGAATAGTGAAGGTGACACCTTTTGCTTTATGTCTCCTGTGTAGGTTCTGCCGCGTCTACCTTCCCACATGCTAATATATTGTGACATACAGTAAGCATACATATTCTTAACCATCATTCCTGTCTCGTCTATTATCCTCTTTGTGTCCATAGGCCCGTGAGAAGTTGTGGATGGCCCTGGGTGAGGCTGCTCCTGTGCTGGTGCCAGTTTCCCATGTAATGATGTGCATGAACTGTACCTCTGACTTCAGCCTCACACTGAGACGACACCACTGCAACGCCTGTGGCAAGGTCACAAATACAGAACTGCAAAAATACTTTTTGGCTTGTTTGTGATCAGTCTTTTTAACTCTAACTTAATGCTGGAGGCATTTTTTAAGGAAGATTAATAGTGGGGGGTTTTTTTATCCTTCAGTGATAAAATAAAGTTTTAGTTGTTTTTGGCAAATGGTCATCTCTACTCTTAGGTCAGATGTGAAGTAGCATGCGTTCAAAGATAACACACAGCATGATGAGGCTGTCTGTTTGGGGTTTTTCATTCTTCTCTGTATTCTTATTCTCTCTCTGAGCAGGTGGTGTGCCGTGCTTGTTCCAGGAACAGATACCCACTAAAGTACCTCAAGGACAGAGTTGCCAAAGTGTGTGACCACTGCTATGCTGAGCTCAGGAAAAGAGGTGAACCTGAGCTTTCTGGTGGAGGGTTGTAGTGGAAATAGAAATATCCTTGTGTGTTTTTTCCTCTTTATTTGTTACTTCCTATATGTATGCGTAGGAGGAAGCGTGTCGGGGGCCTGCGGTAACTCCAGTCCTCGAACTCAACGGGCCAGCCGTCCACTCTCTGCCGTCTTCCAGAGCCTGCAGCCTCCAAGTTTGTGGAAAAGCAGGAAGAGCATCTCCCCTCTTAACCAGGTGGATTACATTTTGAATCAATTCTACCACGTTTTAATCCCAAACATGTGAGAAACCTGCGGTCCAGGCCCAATACTGAGTTACACATGTGATACACCTACTCTATTTTCACTTTTCATTGAATTTATGGTCAGCACAATGAGGGTGTTGACCCAAGTTTATCGTCTTGTCTGAACAAAAACCTGCTGACCATCAGCAAATAGTTGCCAACAATAGTACTATAAGCAGGTGTTGGATCAGGATGTGGCTGTCAGAGGTCAGCCCAGCACATAGGCCTATGACGGGCCAAGACTGTATGGGTCTCAAGCCTAAGATAATACTGCACTCATCACTGTTTGAAAAGAAAGCAGAAGACTTACATCAACTGATTGGAACAATATTGATTATACAGCAGCCCAAATCCTCCTTCTACAGTATCAGAATGAGTCCTGAGAACAAGCTTTTCTACGTATGTGTTCTGACCCAAAGTGTTTATCCTTGAGAAGGTAATGAGTCCCTTTTTTTCCTCATTTAACACCTACAAAAACAATATTTGAACTCTTTTGAGGGATCCTCCTTGAAAGAGATCACTGTGGATACAGAATACACATAGATAATGAGGTGACTAAACCATCTTTTTGGTAAACCAGGGTTTAGCACAAAACTATCCAGAAATGTAACAATCCTCATAAAAAACCTGCCTAATGGTTCATAGGCATAATGTATCGGGCGTCACAGTGTGCATCATCGTTGGCTTTCCAATGAAGGGAAGGTAACATAAAGCTGTTCCCTGACCGGGAATCGAACCCGGGCCGCGGCGGTGAGAGCGCCGAATCCTAACCACTAGACCACCAGGGACCTGTACATGCTTCACTCACACTTGTTGAGTGGAATGTGTGGCATGTGTGACATGATCTGATCAGCTGTTCAGTCTGTCAGTGTGTAGTGAAAACAGCTACCAGTAGAGGTCACTGTCTATCTGTCATTGGGAGTTTCAACAGGAAAGTAATGCAGTCCAGTTCTAACTGTTGCTGTGTTTCTGCTGTGTCCTGCTTTTCAACAGTTATCGCTGGCCGTGGAGGGCTCCACCATGAGTGGCAGCCTGCAGCGCCGGAAAAAGAGCAAGAGGAAGTGGAAGCGGCTGTGGTTCCTCCTCAAAGACAAGGTGCTCTACACCTTCACAGCCCGTGAGGTGAGGGGGCACAGAGTCTCCCACACCAGCCCCAAAACACTCAAACACTCTCATGATCAATCAGTCACAGAGGCATTCCCTCTGACCCTTTGTCTGACCCCCTTCATCTGAATTATTGTCGTACAGAACTGTTTAACACTCACATTTTTACTGTTCAGCCTTTTCTCCTGTTCATAACACCTCATGTGACTATCAAAGGGATTCTCTGTGCTCTCTCTCTGTTTGCTTATTAGACATTTGCACTTGAGTGTTGCACCACTTTCTTTGTCTTGAAACATCCATTTTCTTGTTATTTGCATACTGCTGCAGACAGCACTGGTGTTTGAGGTTTGTATGTCGTGTTTGATGGCTCCCCTCTGGTTTCTTCAGGATAAAGTGGCTTCAGAGAGTCTACCACTACAGGGCTTTACAGTCAAGCTGACTGAGAGGCCAGAGGGAGAGGAAAGCAGCAACATTTTCCATCTGTACCACAAGAAGACCCTGTACTACACATTCAGAGCAGACGATCAACACACTGCACGCAGGTGAGCCCTGGCACTGTTAAGCTATGCTGATGAATAGCTTCTACTTAGAGTTGGGACATGAGTGTCCTACTAAAAGTGTTCCCTGACCGGGAATCGAACCCGGGCCGCGGCGGTGAGAGCGCCGAATCCTAACCACTAGACCACCAGGGAGTGTATATTTGCTGTCTGCAAGTACAGTAGGAAGGGGGGCTCAGCTGCCCTGCATGTATAACATTATTGTGTTTAAAGGCTCTTTGTTAAATGGAAGCTGCTGCCCTAAGTGATAGAAAGACTGAGGGTGTTTACATGTGTTGTCTACATAGTCAAAACATTGAATGTTTCATTTTCCATTACTAAATCTGTTTCTAATCTTTTTATGAAACCCTTGCTGCAAAGCCCAACTCCTCACTGAAATGTTCCCGCTTCTCTTGTTTTAGATGGGTCAATGCCATGGAGGAGGCTACTGTCTTATAGCAGCTGTAACTAAACACGTCGCTGTCTGTGACTGTTAGAACACAACAAAGCTACCTGCTGCATCAGAACTCAAATCAATATGGATTCATCACGTCTTACCAGCTGGGGAATATTGTGACAATGTGTTTTATGTGACTATTTCATCACCAGGAGGGAATTAGACAAGGCTGCCACCCAGTGGTACGGAGTCAGAGGGACGCTACCGCGTCAAAAGGCAAACTAAAATCCTCTTATTGAATTCTGATCTATCAGACAAAAACTCTTCTAGTCCCATTGTGCTGATCCAAAATGAGTTAGCAAGAGCCTTATATGTTAAAGGCAGCTTGGATCATTCAAATGGTTCATTTATACAAGTTTTTGCTCCTTCTGTTCCGCATTTTTGCCAAGACCATCCCACAGAATGTGTCTGTCCAACTCAACTTCTTCTATTTCTTTGTATTTTGCTGACTTTTACCACTGGATTATTTAATCACTATTTCTTCCCCTCTACAAACATCCTTTATATTTGTATGTGAGAAAGTGACCCAGCTGGTGTTCTTCGGTGGGTTTAATGTTATTATGAAAAAATATCAAAAAGAAACTATGCTATGGTAGTATTCACAGCTAAGGGAACATATTGGTCATTGTATTTTTTTTCTTAGAGATATTTGCCATTTGAAATATATATTGTGAATTATAAACTGCAGATATTACTGACTTGTATGACTCGTTTGTATAGAAAGTGTGTTACGCGATGTTCTGAGTAAGAGGTTATTTAGTTCACCGTGGTGTGTGTACATTTTATTACTTCTGGAGTTTCACACAGAGTTACTCTGGTCATGAACCTGTTGAATGACCCTCAGCATGACAACGATGCCGCAGTATTTCTTAATGGATGAAAAATTTTCAGAGACTTTTTAATTAAATCTGTAAGTTTTGAGAAATGTTTCATACAGTTCTGAAGTGCCAATTGATTTCTTCCAGTTGAATGCAGTGCAATTTTGCAATAGATGATGAATGTACCTGAGATGATGTTGAATATGTTTTTATGTTATCAAAGTACTGTACTACTGTCATGTCCTCTGAAGAGACCTTGACTACATTTTCTTTCCATTTAGTCTTTGATCCTTTGAATACTTCAGTTACAGTATAGCAGCATACGATCATTCAATAGTGCCCTTTTTATTATTGCCTTTTTTCATACTGTATATATACCCTGCTGGATAAAATACATGTTAAAACACTTACACTTAATAGAAACTGCTGAAAAAAGCAGTTTGAGCCTTATGAGCCGCTCATGTTTGCAGCAGTCAGAAAGACACTGGACCTTCTATATTATCTGACATCAAAAGTTTCTCTTCAATAACCTGAAGGTGTTATCTGCTCCATTCAGAATGCAGCTGTACATCATGTGATCTCTCAACCCGGCAAACTACATTATTTCTAAAGCATAGATGTGTTCAACATGTACTGTTCAGCTTTTCTACTCGTTTCTTACGTGCCGTACCTATATCGTTATCATGGATTGTACCCCTTGCATACAGTGCTTTGTAAATGTGTATGTATATAGAAACATATAAAAAATAAACTCCTTTAAAATCTTTACTAATGTGTTCTCACTCTGCTCTTACATGTTATAAAACATAAACTGGGAGGAAACATTAAAATGATTCCCATAATGGCTCCCCCGACATGATAAAAAAACTAACACAAATCCTGTATGATTACAACCATTGAAAATCATCACGTTCCTTTCTTTCTTTTAAGCATGTCAGAAATGATCAGATGTATGATACATTTGGGGATATCGTTTTTTTAGACAACATTGTCTTTTTTTATCAAGTGCTCACATTATTTTGTCTCAGTAGTCATTACTTACAGCTTAACATGGGGTGATCTGCACACCTTGGATTGTTCTATAATTGAGTACAGACAACTTTAATTTGTCTACACACCTGACAAGTCGCAGAGTGTATTGAAGGGTTGATGCCATACACTTTACTTGCTTGAAAAGATCTTGGAGTTGTGATTAATCTCTGAAAGTGGCGAATACTGGCATGATGCTTCATTCAGCACACACTGGATTGTTTTGCAATTATTTTGGTGGGGCAAACACAGTTTAGTTAATTACCTGTTTTATTTTCCAGCAGAGGGCAGTATTACACCATGCCAACCACATATTTAAACTTTATCACCATGCTGATGACTGAAAACATCAGAGTTCCTAATCCATAGTTCTGATTGTCAGTCACTTTTAAACATGACGTTGAGTATATTATGTTTGCAGAGTTCAAAGGTTATTTATATGATGCAATAGGATACGTTCAATTTCATTTAAAAAAAATAAATTTACATATGCAGGCCTTTCACTAAAAGAGCAGGTAGTTCTGTTTTATAACAAATTAAATAGATTGATAGAAACCTGAACTATTGATCTTTAACATACAAGGTACTTCTTCTACAGACACACACACACACATACACACACACACACACACACACACACACACACACACACACACACACACACACACACACACACACACACACACACACACACACACACTGAATATCAGCCAAGCAACACTGTAACAGCCTGAGCTTTTAGAAGCCTATCCTGCTTGGAATTTAATATCATTTCAAGGGATGATGATTTTATCCCTGAAATAAAGGGAAACCTTATTTTGCAGCTGTTTAATGTATTCGGCCACAATGGATCAGAACAGTACTGCTTCCATATTTTTACACAAGGGACACACTCTAATTTAAGGTTAATGTAAGGTGACGTAATTGTGTTATCATGAGAGATGACACATTATGACTGTTAATGTTGCTTTCATGCAGGTGTAATTTGAAAAGTAGATTTGAAATATACATTCAGGTCGACTACCGTCAGAGACCCTAATCAGGCCTTCCACCTCCCAGCTCCAGACAGACTGCAGGGTAATACAAGCCGTTGCAGATAAGTTAATTAGCCAGGCTACAGAATTCCACAGAGCCAAAACAAGTCGGCCACAGCCAGGAAAGTAGTTGCTAGCATGAATTTTTAAAGGCAAAAAAAGAGCGCAAAACATTAAGGCCCATTTCGTTTTCGACATTTGCAATATTAATGACGGCAAGTTAACAAGAGCAGTTCCGAAGTGGGTTCCCTATAAGGGAAAGAAAAAGGGGTGTCGCTTAATTTATCAGCCGATACAAGTCTGCTGTTAATTGGAAAAGTGGCATTTGAGTATCACATTAATAGTTTTCAAGGTTGTCAATACAGATAAAAAGGGAGGAAAGTACAATAGAGTGATCAGGACACTGTTACTTGATACAGAGGTTACATCCACCAGATCACCTCCCTTACAGGTGAGTAAATGTGAAATGACTGCATGTCAGTCAGTCAGAAAGTAGGCAGTACAGAAAATAGGAGGATTGGGGTTGCTCTAGATTCTTGATCCCATGAGTGTCAATGACCCAATACTAACTTGAAATAACAAAAGACAGAGAAGTGAGAAAGGGATTGAAGAAGGGAAAGTTGTTCATTCATTGCCCTCAAGAAGCTGAAAGTTACCTTGTTCCACTTCTTGTTGTTTCAAACTGGAAAACACATTTATAAGACCTTCCTGTTAGAAGCCGGGGAACAAGAGATGCTGAATGTGATAAGGTAACTGACTTGTAATATTCGATTGGGACTTCTAAAAATGGTCAAAGGACAGTTTCTTCTTCCACACACTTTGCAGTCCAATTCCAAGAGGAAAATAATGTGTCAGAAATTCAATACTGTCTTTTATAGAAATGCAAAGACACCAATCTTATGGAGTTGGGGGAAAAGTTAGCAATTATTCAAACAAGTAGCAAAATAAATGTGAGATTATATTCGAAAAACCGACCAACCAAACTGAGTTTTTTTTAATTTTGTTTGATGTTCAGACAGTGATACCTCCTGTAAACTGACATTTTAAAGGAGCCATCCATCACCGGCTGAGAAGTCAATGTTATACCAGAGTAAGCCATTGAGCAACTTTCCATCCACTCTCTAACACACAACCAAAGTTTGAAGGTTAAGATTTTCTGTGAGTAATAATATTCCACCTGGCAGGATTTATTAGTGAATTAATTACACAACAGATGATCAGTATGACAGACTATCATAAGCCACTGAGTACACAAACAGACACAGCATAATGAAAGCTATCATTAGGTGGAATATGTTCATAAACTGCAATGTGCAACGTGTCTTTTTTAGGTTGTGATTGGAATTTGCTATTGTGTTTTGATGTTGACTGTGTCTATCTATTTTGCTAAAAAGCTAAAAATGTGCAGTAACAAAGTACATTTCTATAGAAGTAATAGAACTGTATTGTATGCTATACTGCAATGTAACATGTTGCATCATAATGTACTATAGAGTATCATATATTGTATTATCTCATATTTTATCTTCTCATTTAATTTTGCTTAAAGGTATTGTAAGGTATCCCTTTGCAGCATTTGGCATTTTATCAGAATGCACTGAATTGTTCTTGTCTTATCATATCTTATTGTATGGCATCATATTATTGGCCTATTGTATCACACAGCATCTTGTGTTTCCTACCTAAGTCCGGCTGACACTGCAGCAGCATTTTAAAACTAAGATAAAACAAAGACTTGTAGATGTGCTTTTTGCATTCTTATCAGAAAAAGTCTCTTTGGCAATGTATAAAAGAGGAAAGTAAGGCTAATCTGATTTTGGAGATAAGAATTTTGGCAACATGTTTCACCATCGCATTGGGCTAATGTGTCTGTAAAAGTGTGACAAAGAAACTGGTATATCTCAAGGCCATTTGAATGAGGAACCTGCTGAACTACTCTTTGTCTACAAGCAAGCAGTTCTCAGCCTGCATGAAACAGGAACAAGGCATGTAAGAATGAAAAGATTATTGAGATAGGAGAAGAAAAAAAAGCTGAAGTGCGTGACGAAAGGAAATGAGGACATCTAGAGAGAGACGGATTTAGTCTAATGTCTCTTGATGAAAGGACCATTTCTCTCCTTTTTTAGGAATTGTTTTTTCATAACCTCCCTCCTTTCCTCCCACCCTCCATCTGTTCCTCTCATTACTCACTCTGATGTTTGACCTGGCACTTGCTGGTATGGCAGAAATGGCCATGACAACAAGAACTGTCTGGGTCCCGGGCCTGCTTGGGTACAAGTCTAACTCACACAGAAAACAAGAAGTCAGTAGTTGCACAATCTCTTTGCTGTGTCATGCCATTCAACATGTATTCTTTAGACACAGGTTTATCGATTACAAGGTGACCTTACTCGAGCTGGAATTTTTTCCACTTTAGACAAAGATGCCACTTGCTTCAACTTTGAAGCTGCAGAGGTTTTTACTCCTCTGCAACATGGGCGTCGCAATTGGTGGAGAAAATGGGACTGACTGCCCAGGGCCCCAATGGAGAAAGGGGCCTTTAATGGGCTTGGAATAAATATCATAGTTTCTGTTTGGATTGCTTTCCCTCGAAGCTTTAACTGTTGGACTGAATAAATGAACATGATTCTAACTCGTACCTAAATAAAATTAAACACTTGTAAAAACATTGTGATATGCTTTAAAACAATTCCGATGCCAAATAGAAGCATATGTAATACACTGTTTGATTTGTTGTTGTTTTTTTATTTAAACTACAATAGAGTTTCTAAGGATGTAACACACAAGTCATGGTGATTTGAAGTATGTTACGATTCCAGAATCTTGAACTTTGTTACAATACTAGTAAAAATTAAACTATATTGATAGCCTGCCTGTTTTGATTCATTCCAACATATTTGTGCAATTGAGACAGTGTGTGCAGCTGTTTGCTTGCAATTTTTGATGGACTTGTTTTTCTCTTCTGCACCTCTTTTGACATTTTTTCCTGTTTTTTTTTTTAGAGCTTCAGTAATTTTGGATGATCATTTCTATAAAACTATGAAGTTGCTTATGAAATCGTAAAATCCCCTTGACATTTGTCTGATATGTCTTCCCTCCAAGAACTGTGATGGTAGAAAAATGTTTCTCGCTTGCTCAAGTTGACGAGAAAGTCTTGCTTCCTCAATCTGATATACAGTAGTTCCTGTTGAATGAGAGTGCTTGGCAGGGACAGAAGACAGGAAGGGCTCCCTCAAGGGTAAATCAACTGTATATCGGTTTGCAGGATATCAGTTGGCTAAGCCAGAAGCAGGTTCATTGGGGATGGGAGGGGCAGACAGAGTGACTGATCAAAAGTCGTGGAGAGTTTTATCAGCTTGGGTTTTATATACTGGTTAAGCATGAGGTCATCACAAATAATGGAAAAAGTCAAGTTATCACCCCCAGTAAAGTTTTTTTAGTGGTGTTTGTGTGAGTTATGGACACTGGCCTATAGGTTAAATCTCCATAATTAGGGTGTGAGTCACTCATTATACCAACAGTGATAACGTTCCTAAGAAAACAACTTAATTGTGATAAATGCCTGACTGCAAACTTGTGTTCGGCTTAATCAGTTTGCATAATGTTTATTTGTTTTGTTTTGTTTTGGAGGGGGGTTAATAAAATGCTTTGTCCTTGAGTTGTTGTTCCATGCTCCACACATTTTTGTGGTAAGGGTAGTTTGAT